ACTTAATTTAATTAAAATTTAAAAAAATTATTTTTAAATTACAGTTTATATTCACTGTTTTTTTTTCTTTTGTATTAGTTTCAGGTGTAGGGCATAGTGGTTAGATAATCATATAACTCACAGAGATCTCCCCCTGGATATTTCCAGTTACCCACCTGGTACCATACAATAGTTAATACAATTTTCAGAGCCTCTTTTTGTAAATAAAGTTTTATTGGCCCACAGCCACATTCATTCATTTACATATTGTCTTTCTTGCTCTGGTGCAGTGGTGGCTGGGTTGGGTAGTTGTGGCTGAGACCAGGTCATCTGCGAAGTCTTTATTATTTGCTGTCTTTCTAGAGCCCTTTATAGAAAAAGTTGGCCAGCTCCTGGTGTAGACTAAGGTGTTCTAGAAGTGAGTGAATGAGCCTGTCTATTTTCTCGTTAAGCCAACCTGGGGGAGAGGCATGGACATAGGAACATTTGTTCACAGAGCCTGCAATTACCCCGTAATAACACAGGCTGCAACCTGTTTGCCTTAAACCAGCAGGCGGGTAACACACCTTATGCTTAGGAGGGAGAAAAAGTCATAACTCATTTTACCTGAAACGATTTGCTTTTCCAGTTTTAAACGTTCCATATTGGTTATCAGATTGTTTCTGATGGAGCAGGAAACATTTACAAGGAGCAGATAAGGCAGGTATCTGATGGACAAGGAGATTATCGGGGAGGCAGTTCTCAGCCACAGCCTCCCCACTCCAGCAAAGGACAGAAATCTCCTGAAAAGAGACTGGATTAGCCTGGCCCTCTTGGCTCCTCCGGATCCTCTCGGGAACACCCGCCCCCAGCTGGGCGTGGGGCCGGGGCAAGGGCGTGGGGGACATTTCGTTGTGGAGGTGGCAGTGCCCTGGGTTCTATGAGATAGAAAGGACTTTGGTGCTGGTTAGGGATGTTAACTGCCCTATTTGAATTTTCCCCTTATATTTAGATCTTAATGGCTCTTCCTGCCCTATTATTAACTCACTGAAAGGAAGTCGAGCGCTGACATGGGGCTTCTGCTCTCATGCGAAAGCCATGAAAGCGGCCTAGAAGGCCCCGTCCGGGCTAGAGATCGTGTACTTGCTCGACGGGGACAGTTCTGGGGCGCTCAGGTTTGAGGCCTTGCTCTGGGCTTGGGGGTCGGATAAGTTGTTGGTTTTTTTTTTTAATTTTATTTTTCAATTACAGTTTACACTCAGTATTATTTTGTATTAGCTTCAGGTATATAGCAAGGTGCTTCGAAAATCACATACTTGACAAAGTGATCCCCCCGATATTTCAAGTACCCGCCTGCTCTGGTACGCAGTGATGACAGCATCACTGACTGTATCCCTGTGCTGTGTTTGACATCCCCATGACTGTTCTGCAACTCCCAGTCTGCACTTCTTCACCCCTTCTTTGCCCCTTCCCCCAGTCTGCTGCCAGATAAGTCTTTTTTTTTTTTAAGATTTTATTTATTTTTAGAGAGGGAAGGGAGGGAGAGAGAGAGAGAGAGGGAGAGAGGGGGAGAGAGAGAGAGAGAGAGAGAGAGAGACATCAATGTGGGGTTGCTGGGGGCCATGGCCTGCAACCCAGGCATGTGCCCTGACTGGGAATTGAACTTGCGATGCTTTGGTTCGCAGACCACGCTCAATCCACTGAGCTACGCCAGCCAGGGCCAGATAAGTCTTTTTAGCCTGGTTTTCTCATCTGCTGAGTAAGACTAGTGGTCCCCTTTGAGTGGTCGTGAGGACGAAAGGAAGATGTCACACTGTGTGTGACAGTGCGTTGACAAACGTGACTGACGGGGGAAGAATGTGGTAGCGGTGACTTTGTTCTCTGGAACCCAAGTGGATGCTCCGTCTTAACCGGCGAACCGAAACAGGGAACTGGCTGGCTGGGCTCAAGAATGACGTAGTCCTGGAGCCGGGTCTCAGAGCTCGAGCTTATCTGCCTGTGTCTCTGGGCTTGGTGCCATTTTCTGCAACTAATAAGTATCTACTGTCTTTGTTGCAAACTCCTGTTTGTGTGTGTGTGTTTTTAAAGATTTTATTTATTTATTTTTAGACAAAGGGGAAGGGTGGGAAGAGAGAGGGACAGAAACATCAATGTGTGGTTGCCTCTCATGTGCCTCCCCTACCAGGGACCTGGTCCGTAACCCAGGCATGTGCCCTGACTGGGAATCCAACCAGAGACCCTTTGGTTTGCAGGCTTACACTAAATCCACTGAGCCACAGCAGCCAGGGCTCCTGTTTGTGTTTTATTGGGCTTTGATGCATGCAGGCAAATGGACCCCTTTAGCCTGTTCATGATTTGGGCTCCTAGCATGGGGCTTTTTGGCCTGTGGATTTCACCCCCGGCTTGGGGCTTGCCACCAGGCGCCCCCCGCCCCCGTCCAGCAGCTGCCCAGACCTGTTGTGGCTTGGAGGTGGAGGCCAGATGGCAGTCTGTGACCGGGCAGCCCCGGACCACGGCGCTTTGGTGTGCAGCTCAGGGAAGGAGGAAATGAAAAGGCCTAGGTTTGGAATTTGCCCTGGTTTTGGAAACTGAAGACGTCTTGTGCCCCAGGCTCAGGAGAGTGGATCAGCCCTGCCTACCACACCATCAGGAAACTAGACTGAATGATGTCATTGGCCTCAGGACCCGATATGGTGGCTGACCGCTCCCAGCCCTGGCCCCAGCTGGTCACTAGAGCCCAGCGCCTTAATCACCGTGGTTTTTATTTTCTGGGCAATGGGTTTTCTTTCATTCTTTTATTTTATCGATATTTATTTTGTTTTGAGGGAGCAGTAGCCATGTGAGATTGATTAAATCAGTCATGAAATCGAGTTACTGGTTTGTGAAGAGACAAAAAGACTAACACAAAAGTTCAGACACTGACTCAAATACATGTGGGAATTGAGGGACCCCCATTTCATCAGAGCAGTTTAAGGTGGACTGTCGTGCCTTGTTGTACCTCTTCTCATTTCTCTAAATCCTGGAGCTTTTCTTTCAGACGAGTCACTGTGATGAGCAGTTTGCCCCTGGCTGTGTTCTGACTGCGTAGGGGCCATCGGGAGCCAGGCTCTAGGGCCCGACTTTGCCTGTCTCCAGGCTCGGTGCCATTTCCATGCACGCATAAACCTCTCCTTCCCTCGCTGCAAAAGCAGTAAATTAAGGCATAAAAGAAAATCAGATGAGATAAAATAAAAAATAAAATAAAATCATTGTTGAAAGTCTTTTTCTTGGTGGAAATGAGAGTAGGGGCCTTAGAAGGGCTGGTTGGTTAACAAGGAACTGGGAGGCATCCGTGAGGCCGTGTGCTAAGGAGTGTAGGACGAGCAGGCCTTCGGAGAACAGTAGAGCCTTCTAATGAGATCCAGAAGCAGGACCTAGGTGCCTGTAGCCTTGGCCACTCTCCCCGCTGGGGGTTCTAGCCATTCAAGTGAGGAAAAAAGACAAGTAATGTAAAAGCATTGGACACGAACAGATAGAACTAATATTACTTAGAGACAAGATTTATAATCAGTACACTGTTAGAAAATCTTAACACAGCATTTCTGTGTACCAACAATAACTATTTAGAAGATATAATAGAAAAAGATGCCATTCACCATATCCACAAAAATTGTGCAGTCTCTAACCAGTATACGAGATCTTTAGGGAGGAAATGAATGTTTTACTCAAGGACAGAAAAAAAATATTACGCGTGGAGGCTCATTCAAAGGTGTAGGTACTATGGGTCATGGCTAAGCTCTTATGCACGGCATCGAGGCCCAGAGTGGGCTGAGCAGCCTTCTGAAGGTCACACAGCCAGTTGCATCAGGTCCCCGTGACGCTGACCACCAGTCTTTCTCATAGTTCCTAAACAGGGTTCCTTACCGGTTTCCGATGGACATTTTTCCTGATGAGTTTCTTGGGAGTGATTTTGTGTGTTGGAGTGTGGCGTTGCTGGATTCTATAACATATCATTAGGGAAGTATTTCTCTTCGTATTTTGGCATAGAAAGAGGTCTGACTCCCATGAATTGGCTCCCCCTCTCATCTTTCTGCTGTTGTGGTTCTAGGTGGGTGAGGTAGGTAGACCCTGGCAATAGGAACCTACCATATTTAAGACATACAGCTTCAGCCCTGGCTGATGTGGCTGGCTCAGTGGATTGGGCTCTGGCCTGCGAGCCAAAGGGTCGCCGGTTTGATTCCCAGTCAGGGCACATGCCTGGCTTGCGGGCCAGGTCCCCAGTGGTGGCGGGGAGGCTCATGAGAGGCAACCACACATTGATGTTTTTCTCCCTCTTTCTCCCTTCCCCTCTGTCTACAAATAAATAAATAAAATCTCTAAAAAAGAAAAAGAAGTATGACTTTAGGGTAGCTTATTGGCTCATAATACTTTTAAGTATTCAAGGTAGATTTAAAAAATGATCACCCATTTTAAGTCCAATTGATCTGTTCTCCAAAAGTCTGCTGTTGACAGAGTCCCAGGGTAAACTGACATTGTTTTGTTGGCTTTGTACATTTAGGCTCACTGTAGTTTGGGCTCGTGACTATATCTACAATATTAGTATTGATAGCACTGTGTTAAATGCATACATCGTATCATCCCATTGAATCCCAACCATAATACCATGAAGTTAAATATTATACCCATTTTACAGATGAGAAAATTGAAGCTGAGAGGTTGAGACTTGCCCAGCATCGTGTAGCTAAAATGTAGCTGGTAGAGCTCAAGTTTGAACCCGGGTATGCCTTGGTTGTAGCCCTCAGGCTGTCCTGCTCCAGGGCTGCCTAGTAACTCTTAGACACCCGCTTTTCAATCTGTGTCCTCTTAAAATACAAGAAAAAAAAAACTGTAATGTGTAATGATCTGTAAACCCTGTATTTACTAGAGTAACCCAAGATGGCTTTTTAATGAATGTATGAAATGCTGTGCTTTTCTTTTGTTGTTATTGATGTATTTGTTCAAATTCCTTTTGAGAATGCACATTTGTTTTGAAACCACACCTGTCTTTCTTGCCTACATTTCAGTCAGAACTAAGACATGGTCCGTTTTACTATATGAAGCAGCCACTCACCACAGACCCTGTTGATGTTGTACCGCAGGATGGACGGAATGATTTCTACTGCTGGGTTTGTCACCGGGAAGGCCAAGTCCTTTGCTGTGAGCTCTGTCCCCGGGTTTATCACGCTAAGTGTCTGAGACTGACATCGGAACCAGAGGGGGACTGGTTTTGTCCTGAATGTGAGGTTAGTTCTTGGTGAATGAATGCATTGTCTGCCTCGCGTCTTCTCCTGGCTCTTTCTCCCTTTTATTTTTTACCTCTTCGAATCATCCAGGTGTAGGGAAGAGAGAAATTTCTTGCCTTCCACCTGCTCTCTCCCAGTCATCCCCTTCTGGGACCCACACTGGCAGTGTGGCCCCTTGGGAAAGACAATTGCCCTGAATATGATTTCGATTCTTCACGGGTCTCTGGATCCTTTGAGATCTGCGGCCTTCTCTGATTCTCTTGTAATGAACATTTCGGAAGCCGACTTACAGATCTTCACTTACTTTGAAAAGCTCTCATGCTCTTTTCCCCCTTCTTGGACGTTCTGTCCTGCTGCATCATGGGCTCATCGGCAGTAGCCACGCGAGGAAGACCAGTCTGGTTGTGTGCTCCATGTGGTCGCCGTCTGACGCTTTCGTGCAGGCAGCCGCGATTTCTTGCGTGCTTTTTAGGTGCTAGGGATTCAGCGGTACACAAAAAGAGGCACGGATCACACCTTTTGAGGAGGAAAGGACAAACACGGGAATAAATGAAGTTACACACAGTGTGTTAGGAGTGTCCTGGAGATAATGGGTTGCACTGAAGATGAGGACTAGGGCGCGAGGAGGGTGCGAGGCGTTTCCATTTTAAACGAAGAGATCCGGGAAGCCCTGCTAGGATTTGGGAAAGACTTGAAGAGGGGGAGGAATGAGCCACGTAGCCAGGGGTTTGGGGTCGGGGGACACCCCCAAGGCAGAGACGGCTGCAAGTTCAGGGCCATAGGCAGAGAAGCGTTCTGGCACAGTGAAGGGAGAGTTGTGTTCCTGTTAGCAGAGTCGAAACACTCTGCATTGAAACAATCACGGCGGTTTCCACTGTCTCTGGTGGCTTCTATTCTTGGTGACATGCAGTCTGATGCATGTTCAAAGTGCCGAAACTAAGAATGTCACCTACAAAATTACCTAATACGGAATGTCGCTTAGATTCAAAAGCATCCTGGAATTAGATCTCCAATAAGGGAAGGCTTCTAGGGGCGAAATGGAACGTTCTCCCAGATGTCATTAGTGGGGGAAAAAAGCCAGCCAGAGGGCAGTGTCTGTCGCACCGCTTCTGTGTAAGGAAAAAGAGGCAGGTAAGAAATGGAAGAGAAGAAGTCAGACACGCCCTCGAGGATGGTGACCTTTCAGTGGTGTTCTGTGTCTGGCTGTCTTTGGTGGCTTATGTTGGAAAGGTGGCCAGGACACGTGTGGTTCGGCTGCACCCTCCCGTTCAGAGCCTGCCCTCGCTCTTCTCCATCTGCCTTGGAGCCTTCCTCTGTTTCCTTTTTCCTTGGCCAACCCTTGCCTTCCGTACAATTACTACTTAATAACTTTGCAAAAAAGATAGTGGCTCTGAGAGGATGCTTTTGCTGCAGACCCCAGGTCTGGAGGAATGGTGCTGGCTGAAACAGGAGAGGTTTATTATCGTGCGTGAGAAAATCCCGGAGGCCGGGCCAGGCCTGAGGGTGCCCAGAGCCAGAGCCAGACTCTCCCCATTCCATCCTCGAGGCCGCGTGTCCCCGTGTGGCCCTCAGAGGGCCGCTGGGGATTTCATTACGTGCGGCGAGACAGAAATCCCCTAGTAGGAGTGTCTCTCTTCACATCCCTTTTTATTGAGCAGAAGGACTTTGCTCTCAGCCTCCAGCTGACTTGCCCTTGAGCTCATTGGTCAGGATTGGATCGCCAGTCCTTATGCAAAAAAAAAAGAAAAAAAAAAGCCTTGAAAAATGTGTGTCTGGCACTTTCAGTCTCTGTTGTGGGAACCAGGCACTGCCAGGAGAGGTGAAGGGGGTTGGGGGCGTGGCTCAGAGGAGGTGGGTGGCGGTTGAGCATGCCATCCGAGTGCTCGCCAGGGATAAGTTACCTGGAAGCAAACGGGAATTCAAACAAGCAGGTGTGCTGTGTCTAAGGTTTCAAGCCCCGGTTTTCTTCCGGGTGAGCTGGGAGGGCAGTCAGCTGAGAAGACTGGCCCTTTTAGGCTCCGATGGCCAAGCAGTTAGCGAGACACTTGAGTCCCTCACCATTTCCAGCTTCAGGGCGCCTCTTGCATTGTCCTTTTCCTCGAAAGTCCCCTTTGGGGGATCCACACATAGGAAGAATGGCAATGAAATCCAAATTAATTGGAGGGAACTTTCTCAGCTCTCTGTACACAGATGGTTCGAGTGTTTCCTGAGAGCTTCAGACTTTGCTATTTTCGTTGTTGTTGCTACTTCAGGGGTCTGGAGCTCTGAGATGCAGTCCTGGATTCACAGAGCGGCATCCGGTTTCCACGTTTCTCGGGGCCTCTTCTTGGGTGGGAATTTCCCTTAGCAAATGACATTTATTGCCCATGGAGATAGACAGCTAAATGACCCATCTCGTGTACGTTGCCAGAATGTCCCGGGGAGGGTTTGCATCAGTGGTGACGGAGAATTCAGTCATATTTATTTTCAGTTTGCTACCATCTCTTTGGTTCTTCTACCGTGAAGACGGTCCCATTCGGGCAGTGACGTCATTGAGTTAATGCTGGTTCATGATAGGAAGAGATCACCCCGAAACCATCCGTGGCCTCTGTTCTCATCCCCTTCTTGAAACCCGAGGTTGTAATAATGACGGGTTTCAGGTCCCGGCCTCGCCGAGTCTTTCTCAGATTCTGTCATCTTCGCGAGCACAGAGGCGCTTCTTACAAGGTCGTTGGTGGTCTTCCGACTTTCATCCGCTGATCCATGCGGTCAGCCGCCAGGTAGGCTGGAGGCCTTGCTGAGCGCAGCAGCCGGTGGTCACCTTCGGCCGTTAGTTTTCACGCGTGAGCTCACTGGAACATTCGGAGGAAAGGGCATTCAGCATGCGGAAAGGAGCTTTTTTCCCTAACTGGACGTGTGTGTGGTTTTTGGCTCGTAGAAGATCACAGTCGCAGAATGCATCGAGACCCAGAGCAAAGCCATGACGATGCTCACCATCGAGCAGCTGTCCTACCTGCTCAAGTTCGCCATCCAGAAGATGAAACAGCCGGGGGTAAGACGCCAGCGCCTCTCGGCATAAGCGGACGTGGAAGCGGTGACGGCGGTTCCGTTAACATCTTACTCCGCGTAGCTGGAGCTTTTCAGACACCCGCACGTAGCCCTTCCTGCAGGCCCGAATCCGGATGTCTGCACGTGAAACAAACACACGGTGTGACGGCAGGCGGTTCTCTGTCGTGAGCCCCGTGCCCTCGGGGACTTTCCCTGGGAAATGACACGTAGTAGGAAGTTCAGGGGGATTTGACGTTCTGATTGGTTATGTAGGAAGCCCTACACCACTGCATCAGGGAGGGGGAAGTTTGTGCCTTCCCTCGGGAGTGAGTAAAACTGCACTGCAGTGAGAAAGCTGGGTACAACCCAGTTTATTTATAGTCAAGGTCAGATGATAGAGCCTTCGCGTAAAACCGAACCAGCGAGATTTCCCGTCAAGGGTGAGGACTCGGTGAGTCCCCTCTGCGTGGCGGTGAGATCTGGTGCCCCGTGGAAGCGGGGCTGCCACGCTGAGCCGGAAGGTGGCGCCCTTCGCATGGTTTTCCTCCCGAGGACCAGTCTGGCCGTAGCCACGGTCGTTTTAGTTTTTTGTGACTGTTTTCGAGAAGATGGCTGTAGCATACCTTTCTTTTAAAAATCATCAGTCTGTGATGTCAGTGTAATTGCTATATTGTGACATCTTCCCTCCAGAAACTTGGGGACGGAGTTCTCTTTCTCTGCTCCGCACAAAGGCACCCTATGGACCAGTAGTAAACCCTGGTGAAAGTCTCCAGAGTTTGCTTTCTAAGTCAAATGATTCCAGAGAAATGTAGACGCTCAGGGTATTTAGTAGCCACTGTGGTTTAATTTCTTCCAAACAGTAAGCTTCAGTTTTGAGGTTATATAGTGGAATTTGATACGGTGGTGCGAAAGATTCAGAGCATGCCATTTGGGTATTGCTAAATTAGGAACCTAGCTGTCTCTTTAATAAAATGTCTGTCAGTGGAAGCAAGAGCATTATAGCCTCAGTTTGGTTAAAAAGACACAGTTTTTTTAAACCTGTGGAGTTTCACATGTTGAGTGACAAGGAATTACTTTTCTGCTTTTCATAGGTGGAATTTCATCTGCTGAGGACTGTTGACAAAAAGAAGAGAGTCATATAGACTTGTCAACGCTGTAGAATTATAAAAAAAAAAAAGAAATTGGAGAGAGTGTTAATTTCTCACATAAATTGTTTGATATAAAATCATTCAGGGCAGAAAGTTGCTGGGCTTGTGGTAGCATCTTTTAAGCTTACAGTGACCACACTCTCATTTTGGATAAAAGGCCTCAGTTGACGGCAGAGGGTAACCCATTCAGATGCCTTGCTTTGAGTATATTTTGGTGTTGAAGTAAATCTCTTAATGTTTTTTTATTTGTAAGTAAACAACACCCATAAACAAACCAGCCTTACATTTTCAGCTGATTCAAGTAGGGCTTAAGAAAATGGATCAACACAAAACACTTTGACATAGTTCCTTTGTTGAAGGTGCTTTGGCTTCTCAAAGGAGCAGGAAAATCTCACTGTTCAAATTTCCCCCCTCGGTGTAAATAAATTATCTGTTGGTACTTAGGGGAACTTTATTTGGTGTATCATCTCTAGGTACGGCCCAACTTCACTCTCATTCAGTTTTGATTATGGGCATTTTTGCAGTATATAGGTAAGCTTCGTTCAGAGTTCTTGGAGTTTTTGTCCGTCTTAATAAAGGGTGGGGCAAAAGTGTGTTTACAGTTGTGAATACGTGAAGCACAGAGTTTATTCTTGTATTGTTATTGATTGTATCATTTTTCCATTTGAACAACTGCAAACCTATTGTTGCCCCACCCTGTACAAGAGGACAGGACCTGTTCTGAGCATAGATCTTGAAAAGAAAATGAAACAGACCACAACTGAGCCCATGATGATTGATAAAATTAGAAGGGGAACCGATTTGGAGCTCCTCAACGTCATTCTTTTTGAAAACTTTTAGAACCGTATTGTCTGAAAATGGGACTCCATTCTTAAAGGGCTTGGCTGGCTTGGATGCTTGGTCTTCCACAGCAGAGACGAGCTGGCATCTGTGTATCCATCTTTTCCTTACAGACAGATGCATTCCAGAAGCCTGTTCCCTTGGAACAGCATCCCGACTACGCAGAATACATCTTCCACCCCATGGACCTCTGCACGTTGGAAAAGGTCGGCCTCCTTCCGAGAACCTCATCGTTGTAGCCCGCAGTTGTCACGACGACTCAGGACCCTCCCTCCTTTTTCGTGCCCCCGCCTCAAGTTAGATGGTCTCTCTCTGTTTCCTCGGCCCCATTGTTACTGGGTTGGAAGAACTTTGATCCCTGGAGTTCTTCCGTGACATTCTTTCCAAGATGGCAATGGAGTGTTGAAGTCCACGGAGTAACTCCAAACGTTACTTCTGCTCGTGGTTCTAGTTCTTCCCCTGAAAAAGTCATAGCTTCTTAGAATTAGTGATTTGATGGGTGTGAGTCTGGCCCCTTCTCCTTCCCCCTTTCGGAGGTGCTAATGAGGGCCCCGGGAGGGAAGAGGGGAAAGTTGAGTGTCTGGGAAACCTTCACATTAGCCATACATTTATGGCTTCACAGGTCGTGATTTATTCTACCATTAAGGGTATTTCTTTAATGCCTGAAGGTGTTTTAAGAGCTCATGCTAAATCTCCGTGCTGGAAGTTATACTTGTAACCCTTACGATTGTGCACGACATCCTGGTGCTGATTTTCAAATCGTTCGCACCAAAATCTGGGTCAAGAAAACACGGAAGAGGACAGATTGCCCCCCCCAACACACACACACAAGAAATCTACCCTTCTTTTGGAAAATGGCACATACCCTCGTGGCGTTCCAGAAAAAAGGCATTGAAATAACAGGGTTGGAATTCATAAACTAATAGCTTTGGGACTCTGGATACTTCTCTTAACATTCCCATATCTTGCCCCCTCCCCCCCGTCTATAAAATGGGGATGATAATAATGGCTTCATTGAGTTCTCCATTATGAGGCTTACAGGAGACTATTACTAGTAACAATAAATACATAAATATGTATCTATAATGTCCTGGTTCATTGGAATAAGCTGCTTGATAAAAGACAGCTGCCGTAAAATGAGAAAACCCAGGTTAGCGTGATGCATTCAATGACTGCGTTTTTATAGGGTTATAGATCTCAACTATGATCGCATCTTGGGAAATGAGTACAAAGCATTAATTAATTTGGCAAATGACTGCTAAGACAATTACGTGAGGGACGCAGGTGTTGCCGGCTGTGGCTTGCGGAGGCTCACGGGTGATTATGTCCCGGCTTCTCTCCCCAGAACGCTAAGAAGAAAATGTACGGCTGCACAGAAGCCTTCCTGGCCGATGCCAAGTGGATTCTGCATAACTGCATCATTTACAACGGGGGTGAGTGGCGCAGGCGACGCCTGCAAAGGAGTGTGCTGGGTGTGCTGCCTATCCTTCCACCCTGCTCTTCTTCATGCATCAGGGCCAGTGTCAGGATACTGTGTATGGATCGCCAATATTTGGGAATAGGGACCAGTGACTATGTGCATTTTGTAAGTATGACCTGCCATCCCAGCTGGCTCGTGGCTCTGTGATGCTGCTACCTGTCCTTGCAAAAAAACGTCGTTGTCATGAAGGAATAATTACATACAATCAAAAGCCCAGGTTTTCCGTGTCACCACAACCCTAATAAGACCGAGACTAACATTTTCACGGTCCTATTGTATTCCTACTTTCCCTTTTCCAGTGAGCCTGCCCCTGCTCTTTTGTTCTCGGTCGCTGTAGGTTAGTTTTGCATATTCTAGAATTTCATTTAAATGGAGTCCTAGAGATTGAACTGTGCTCTTTTGTGTCTGGCTGCTCTCATGCAGCATCGTATCTTTGGGGGGTTCATCCATGTGGTGTGTATCGTTTCTTTTTATTGCTGAGTGCTTTCGTTTGTTTTATCAACACACAATCTATTTACCTATTCATTGCTGGGCGCGTGTGTGTTTCTGCTCTTGGCTGTTAGGAACAACACTGCTGTGAACATTCTTGTCTGAGTCTCCGTGTGGACACAGGTTTTCATTTATCTTGGGTGAATACCCAAGAGTGGTATTGCTAGATCATTGAATTTGTACTTGACTTGATGAGAATTTTTGCCCAACTGTTTTTGCAAAGTGGTTGTATCCTTGTGCACTCCTTCTAGCAGCATGTCTGAGTCTTTGTTGCCCCACATTCTTGGCAACACTTGGGATTGTCTGTCTTTTTCATTTTAGCCATTCTCGAAGGTATGAAATATTAGGTGGTAATGGTTTTAAGTTGCCTTTCTCTAGTGACTAATGGTATTGAGTATCTCTTTATGTGCCTTCGTCATTTATATATCTTTTGGTAAAATACCTTTAAAAATCTCTTGCTCCTTTAAAAACTTGGATTTTTGTGTTTTATCATTGTTGTAGGGGAGCTTTATATCTGGGTAAAGTTTAATCAGTTGAGTTGTTAGGGGTTTAGAGGATTGAGCGTCTGGGCAGACAAGTCTCCTCCTGGTACCTGTCCCACTGCCCCAGCCTCTTTACTCCTGTCCTTTCTGTTTACCTCCTGGCCGACCCATCGTTCAGCGACCTGCCCGATCCCGCTCCTTGTGTCCCCAGGTCTTCTGGTCTCCTGCGGAACAGTCTTTACCTCTTCGTCTTGCGCTGGCTTTTTCTTATTCTTTAGTCTCAGCTTCTCAGGTCTTGTGACCTAGACCAATCGTATGCTCTCGTTAGGGACTGTCACAGTACCTGTGCTTCCCCGTGGCAGCACAGATGGCATTTTCTGGACGGTACTGGTTGTATCTGTTTGACTTGCTCACCAGGATGTAGGCTCTTTAAGGGCAGATACCTCGTCTTGTGCCTGGCATCCCCTTGGGTCTAGCGTAGACTCTTCGGTAACGTTTAAGGGAAGCTGAACGAATGGGTAGATGTTTGCTTAAAGCGCGTGTTTGGCATTAGTCGCTCAGTAGCAGGGTCGGGGTGCAGGGAGGGAAGAGCGTCAAGGCACTGAGACCTTGTGTAAAGATTTTAGACTCAAACGTACAAACACGTGGGTGAGAACTGCCTGGAGACACACAGAGCACAAGCCAGGACGGGCCCCGACTGGGGACGGCAGGAGGCAGCGGGGAGCAGGGGAGTCCCACCTGGTCTGGCGGGGTGGCCTCTGGCCACCCATGGTTTGTGGGAGACAGAGTTCTCAGATCTTCTGAGTTTCCAAGGGAGCCAGAAATCTAGGCGTTCTTGTGTATGTGTGTGAAATCCTTTTGCCCACAAACACACCATTTCTGTAAATAAGTCACGTTGGAAGAAAATGTGGCTTTCCGACCCTTTCGTCTTCTGCTTTGGTGCGAAGGTGAGGGAGTTGGAGTTACACCTGGGGCCATCTTGAGCTCATTAGCAAAGTGGGCTCATGGAAGCAATGACTTCTGAGCCTTGACTTACTTGTTAATGAAATGGGAATATTTGTATCTGCTTCCGATATGGCTTCTTGCTGCATTCACAAAAAAATGCGTTTTGGAGCACTGGGTACAGCAGAGCTACTTAGTTAAGTGCCGTCCTGGGTTGGAGTCTGGGACAGTGGGTGGAGTGAGCCTCCTTTCCAGCAACTTGAGCCTTTAAAGCGGGAAGGCATTTTTCAAATATTAATCCACGCCTTGCAGGGAAGCCCCACTAACTGCTCAGTTTCCGAAAAGATGACATCCAGGCCCCAAAGCTTGGCAGACATGCATGGGAGGAGTCACACGATTTGAACTGGGATTAGAAGGTTTTCAGCCTTTCAAAGCTTCATCCCGGGGTGGGTGGGGGGACGGCGGGGGGGAGCAAGTTAAAACGTTGTTAGAAGTAGAGTCCCAGGGTTGGGTGTTACACGTTTTCATTCGGATTAATCTTATTTTCTTATTCCCTTAGGAAATCACAAATTGACGCAAATAGCGAAAGTAGTCATCAAAATCTGTGAGCATGAGGTATGTGCTTCTCCAGTTGTGTTTGAAACGCGTCCAGAAGGAGGGTTGGGGCGGCCAACGTTGCCGTGTGCATTCTCCCAGTGGGTCGCTGGAGTGGTTTTAGGACTTGCTGAGTCACAGACAGTTCCCCTCTCTTTAAGGAAATGTAACAGCAAGAAGGAGGGGAGCCCCCCCCCACCCCCCAATATGCTGTAGAGCACCTTTACCTTTGTCGTGATCTACAGGAGTGGAAACGGCCATTTGTTTCTAGCTTTGAGTCATGGTCAAGCCCTGGACATGCCGAGTTTTCTTGGGGGCATAGATGGAGTTCATAATTCCTTCTCCCCCAAGTCTGTGGCACTGAGTCTGGTCCTTTCCAGTCTTGCGGAAGATGGCTGGTTGTTGACATTGTTTGGGGAAAGGTCCTGGCTCTTTCTCAGAGAGCAGCACAGCTGTCCTGGAGGGTCTGTCCCTCTCGCAAATACCTGCGGCGTGACGGTGTGCGTGAGTCAGACCCGCTGGGCCGCGCCGCCCCGAGGCTCGAGTGCTTGTGGGACAGGCGGGTGGCAGACGCCGTACGAGAAAGTCTTTGTGTGTGAGGTCCCTGTTTGCAAAAGCCTGAGATGGAACGGCCTTCACCCTGTCAAGCCTGATCTTTCTTCTTTTCTTTTTTCTTTTTCTTTTTCTCCTCTTTCTCTCTCTTTCTTTCTTTCCTTCCTTCCTTCCTCCCTCCCTCCCTCCCTTCCTTCCTTCCTTCTTTCTTTCATAAGGAAAACATGGATATCTTAGGGTACATTCATGTCTACAGATTTACATAGAGTTTTACAGTCTACATTTTCCACTTAGTTGGAGTGTCTCCCTAGGTAACTAAACACACAGGAAGAACAGAATTTTTCATGGCTGTTCTGATGGTTTTCTTAGTATAATTGTTAGAAGTATACCTACCAGGTCCAAGGCGGTAAACAGGCAAAGGCATTAGGTACTTTCTGATTGTCTTTTGGAAAAGCCGTAGCAATTTATGCAACAGCCTGGATCGGACGGACGTGGTTTTTCTGTGTGCTTTCCAATACCGAAGTTCCGGTTGGAGAAAGTACACGTATGCATGGTTCCCCTCCATCACTGTGACCAGCGCCAACAGGGGTGACCACTCTGATTTTGGTTTGCCTTCCTTTGATGACAGGCGATCACCGGCTGTTGTCGATGACTGTTCATTGGCGGTTCGTGTGGGTGACTTGTTCGGTTGTTTTCCCCTTGGGGATTCATGTGTTTCCCTGGACTTGGGAGCTGAAGCATAGGCCGTTGATTGGTGGGGTGCCCCGAGGTGGACTTGACTGGGCTCAGATACTCTCTGTCTGGCATTTTGGAATCGACCTGTCGGCAGCACGCTGCTGCCTTGTGGGCTGCAAGGCCAGGGCTGTCCTGGACCCGCTGTTCCCACTCTGTTCTACCCACTACATGTAGAGGAGGGGTAGACTGGGTAGAAAGAGGTATTACACTCCACCATTCCTTCCTCAGTTATAATTGCAAATTATAATTCTAAAATTAATACTTAACTGAGCACCCACTGTGTATTTGGCACCTTGCATGATGCAGGAGATAACAGGAAGCCCCACCTTGACAAGAGGGTGTAGTAACTGCGGGGCAGCGGTGAAGCGCATGAGCTGGGAGCCCGACTGCCTGGGTTCAAATCTTGGCCCTGCCACTTCGCTGCAGTGAGACCGAGACCGTGGTACTTGACATCATCTTGGGGCCTCCCTGTCTTCCTCTGTGAAATAGTGGGGGCTGAATTCAGATCCGCGATGGGGCTTCGGGAGCCCTTGGTTCTAAGGCACGATGATTCCTTGGGGGAAGGCGCTTTCTTCAGAGGGGGAGGGATGGTTAGTCATAGAATTCCCAGGCTGGTGTCAGTAGCACAGGGCACCATGGTATTGACTGACCGCTCCGGGTGGAGTGAGTGGAGACTCAGGGACACCGAGCGCAGCACGTGGTGGCCTGCATGGCCGGAAGGCAGTGGGGAGCTCAGACAGGTATGCCGAGGCCAGACCACACCCAGCCTCAAAAGGAACTGATCGGGTGTTTAGATTTCCTCCTTGGTTTCTCAATCTTGGCACTGCTGACATTTGAGGCCCAAGGATTCTTTGTTGTGGGGACTGTCCTGCACATCTCTACGTCATAGATCCCTATCATGGCTGGCGTTATCAGCCCTGAGTTGTGATAACCAGACCCGTCTCCAGACGTTGCTAAGTCACCAAACATCTCTGAGGTGTTAAGCTGCCCTGGTGCAGAACCTCTGATACGAGGGGAGGGACGAGATCGAGTGTGTGTTGGTAGAAGGTGGCTCCGGCTGCTGAGTCTGTATGGGGAGTGAACCGCAGTGGAAGCTGGGAGACTTGTCTCGGAGAGCGAGGGTGGCGGCTCAGGCTGCGTGGGGCGTTGGGGTCGGTGAGACGTGATCCCGGTGGTGTGACTTCGTTCAGCTGATGTTATTTGTCAGTGTCATCCTGCATTTCTCGAGGGCCTAGAAGTGGAAGGCCCCTGGGATGCCACATTCTAACTTTGGTTTTTGCGTTGTTTTGTTTTACAGATGAATGAAATTGAAGTTTGTCCAGAGTGTTATTTAGCTGCTTGCCAAAAACGAGATAACTGGTTTTGTGAGCCTTGTGTAAGTTGGATTTTCTCTCCTTTTCTGAACCCCATGCCCGGATGACTGGTTACCCAAGACAGCCTTCTCTTGGTGCCTGTTTAACCAAACTTTTTGGATGAAGTTTTTAAATAATTCGTTTTACTGATAAAAGCTACAGTAGAGCCCTGGCTAGTGTGGGTCAGTGGGTTGAATGCTGACCTGCAAACTGAAAGGTCGCTGGTTCGATTCCCGGTCAGGGCACATGCCTGTGTTACTGGCTGGGTCCCCAGCTCGGGGGGTGTGAGAGACAGCTGACCCATGTTTCTTTTTCTCTCTCCCTTCCCCTCTCTCTAAAAATAAACAAAATAAAGATCATAAAAATATATATATAGCAGAGTGAAGGTAACACAGGTAGGAGAACCCCCTTTGGCTGAAAGGTCGTGGGTCAGAGGCAGCATGGGAAGTGGGTTTATTAGCCTGGGCAGACTTCAGGGTTCAGAGTGGAAGGGGGCCCCTCAGGGAGAGTGAGGATTCGCCAAACAATGCCCACAGGGACATGAGTGGTACGTGGATGGGTCACTCACTGTTCTGTTTTAAGAGGTTGGGAACTATCTCCTTCTGGCTCCTTGGATCAAGTCTATGATATCTTCATCTGTAGGGGTCAGGGGCTAGTCCAGGGAGGAAAATCACCCTTGTTTTCCCCGCAGATCTGCATTTTCTAAGCTGGTCTTCTCCGGGGAGAGGTGTAATTTTGGAGGGGGCTGGCGGTGGTAGTGGAGTGTACTGGGGGACAGGATGGGGCAAGTAAAGTTGAGAATGAGAACACAGTTCGGGTCTCCTCCTGCCGTTGGAGATTACCACCTCAGTTGTTTAGGGTTTGAGTAGCCCTCCCTAAAGAATAAGCGTGGCTGATAATGCCCTGATTACAATCTAGTTAGAAGGCACATTTAGTCCTCCCTCCCACCTGACAGAGGCTGTAAGGGTTACCGTCTCTGGGCTGCACAGAAGGGTGGCATCTCTGGCTCCCGGCCACCCAGATAATGATGGCACAGCCCAGCCTCACACCCAGAGCTGTCAGTGCCCAGTTCCTGGTTTCACCCCGTAACCCCACTCCCACCTCCACCTCGTCCTACTGGCCACACCCCTCCGGGGGCACGCCTCTTGGGGAGACTGTGAGACAGTTATCTTGCAGCTGGTGGCCTCTGTCACCTCTACTTCGCTTTATCCCCAAACCCCAAGCTCTATGTGTGTGTGTCTCTTGCTGTCCAGTGCATACAGACTCTGCATTTTGTTTTTCTCTTCCTAGAGCAATCCACACCCCTTGGTCTGGGCGAAACTGAAGGGGTTCCCGTTCTGGCCTGCAAAAGCTCTGAGGGACAAAGACGGGCAGGTCGATGCCCGTTTCTTTGGACAACACGACAGGTGGGAGTTGAACATGGGCTGCAGACATGTAGTGTTCACTGAGCCTTGGCTATACCATTGGGTATGAGAGGGCGCAGAGGGGGTGGCCCCCACTTTGCTGAGGGTCCTGGTGCTGACCGGTGATCGTGTATCTGGGAGTTTAAAGGTGTCGTCCTGCGCTGTGTTCGGCCTGGGAGTGTGTGGGCTCCAGCTGTTGCAGGTGTGTTAGAAGAGAATCTTGCTTTCCTGCTTTTGGTGGTGAACCCAGCACTGGAATAAGGTTCCATGGCTATTGTAAATGTTGCTGTTCTTAAAAAAAAACCAATTTTTTTTCCTGGAGTAAATCAAACCACTGTGCTAATTGGTTTTGAAAATAATGTTCTCAGGGATCAGAGGCATTTCCCCACATCACCAGTAAATGGATCCCCTATCATGGCGAGGGGTAATTCCCCGCGTTCCTTTTCTCTGAAGCGAAAATGGGAAATGATAAGGGGCTGCTGTTTTGACAGGTGCGAGCCCTCCCTCCCAGCCTTTCTGCCCTCCCATTTCCCTTGCTCGCAGCGAAGTAAATTATTGCAGTGATTAGCAGTTCCCTTCAGAGCGCAGCCCCCCCGCGTGCTTGAGAACGACAGGTAGACCGAGATGAGCAGCAGTTAATACCTGAGCTCCATCTTAACAAGTAAAGTCATGATTAAATAAGGCACAGGCCCTCTGGAAGCCTCACCAAGCAGGTTGACGAAGTGTGGGAGCGTGTAGGGGAGGCTGTTTAGGACAGAATGCCAAACACGCAGGGTCCGGCACAAATAACGCCCCGCTTTGTTATCACAAAATCGTTCATCATGAAATCGTAAGTGTGTAAATCTCTAGCATAACAACATCGCCCTCAAGCATACCCTGTGACAGGTTAGCTGAAATGTTCAAATTAAAACTACAAATGATCACAGCTGTAGTATTACCCGACCAACCACACTCAAGCAGGCGTTACTTCGGCCGGGCCCTGTGTTGTAGACACAGCCACGGAACACACAGGACATACCGTTTATAATTCTGTGCAACACCGGGATCTGAAGCCCTGCTCTCCGCGTTACCTTCCACTCGTCGTCTTGCAAACCAAAGACAAGAGCGAATTCCAAAGTAATCCGTGAAATCATTTACTAGGAGCCCAGGCCGTGCAGTGTCGGGAGGCGGCGTGGAAGGTAGCCGAGATGATCGTGGGTTTGCTAGGAGGTACTCTATTACCCTTTATTTGATTTTGACCTTTTTTTTTGTTGGAAATCTTTTAAAAATTCATGTATTTGTTCATCCAAAGAAGTATGTATTTGGCGCCTGCTGTGGGCCGGCCAGCCAGGCTGGGTGCTGGGTACTGGGTACTGGGGGTTTAGGGCTGGGTAGGAAGACGCTGTCTCTCTGCCCCTCAAAAGGCTGACATTCTGGTGGGGAAGACAGGTACCGTACAAGTAAACAGACAGGCACAGTGGTCTTGGGGCAGGAGGTACGGGGTTGTGGGGGGCGGGGGGCGGCGGGGGGTTGTATGTGAGATGCGGTAGAAGGACCAGAGAGAGCAGCGGCTCAGGCTCGGAAGGGCCAGGGCCTGTTACGGGATGGGGGAGGGGAGGATGAAAAGACATGGGGTGGGGGAGGTGGGGTTGGTCAGCCCGCAGACCACATGGGCTGTTGTGAGGAATCTGGCTTCTCTTTGAAGAGCAGGGGGAATCGCTGGCAGGTTGTGTCGCTTCCTTAGAGCACGCAGGTGTTGGCCATCTCGATGATCTGGGATTGTTCTTACTGTCCAGTATAGCACAGTAGGATAGACTGAGGATACGGACCCAGAGGCACCCAGTGTTTGCAGGCCCTTAGAGTCTTTTGATTCTGCCTTTAGCTGAGCCACTCTGCACGGACATCCTAACTCCTACTGACAGCCGTTGAAGGTGACTCAAGGGCATGAGCTGTGCTGGCTCTGTTGCCAGATGCCACCTTCCCCGTGGGGCCCCTACATTTGGGAAAAAGTCAGCAGCACCAGTCTGATGTTTGTGAGGTTTCCTCTAGCCCCCGTTGGTGTCCCCTCGGAGGGATGTGCTGAGCTGCTGGGCTGCTTCTGGGGGAAGGAGGTGTACTGGGCGAGGTGTGACGGACACCCATAGTGGTAGAGGGGCGGCACGTCAGCCTTGCAGGCCTATGTCAGCTGGCCTTGAGCAGGGAGTCTCTGACAGCCGTTGGAGAAGCCACTCCTAAAAGGGCGAGAGTCCCTCCCTCCGCAGAGATGTCCTTCAAGCAGAATGGGGCCTGTTTGCTCACAGTCTGCTCTGGGTCAGACCCAGGAGCGCAACCGGGAGGCTCCAGGGGGGAAGAACACGCCCTTTTGCAGGGGAGCCTGCTTTGGGGTTGTAGAGCCAAACCGTGAGCCGGGACAGGTGTCAGGGAAACCCATCAGGACAGTGGAGTAAGCCTGGCTGGTGTGGCTTGGTGGTTTGAGCGTGGGCTGCAGACCAAGGGGTCGCTGGTTCAGTTCCCAGTTGGGGCATATGCCTGGGTTGCGGGCCAGGTCCCCAGTGGGGACCACATGGGAGGCAACCGCACATTGGTGTTTCTCTCCCTCTCTTCCTCCCTTCTTCTCTCTCTAAAAATAAGTAGATAAAAATCTAAAAAAAAAAAAAAAAGACAGTCGAGTAAGATTTCTTATAGGCCACAGACCATTCCATGTTCGTTGTCAAGTGAGTAAATCCTGGAGCCAGGGAAGGCTCTTCATGCAAATCAAGGCATGTTCTGAAGAGTCCCATCTCATGCCTTTTGTCCTTTAAAATACCTTGGTTTTCCTGTTTCATGTCATAGACACACAAGGTAGTATATAAAACTGTAGAAGACATTCTGTTAAATTCCTGCAGAGCTGGCGTTAACTGAGGGCCGACTGTGCAGCAGGCACTTTTTTTTTGTAGAAGCCGTGTTTCTGCCCGTTTTCCCGATGCCAGATCTGAGGCCCAGAGCTAGAAAGTGTAACGCCAGCTCCCCTGTGTGACTCTGCGCCCCCCCCCCCCCGCCCCCACCCCACGACATTGCCCCCACAGACTTTCTGTTGTTAAGCAAATCTAATTTTCCTTTGAATATTTCCTGGGCCTGCTTAAAGGAAAAGAAACACTCACTTTCCTGAAATCACTTGCCAAGCAGCTTCATTGAAGGCCCTTAAGAACCTGGGGAGGAAAAGGTAAGGCCCCGATACCAGATGACAGTGTGGGAGAAATGCAGTCACAGTGTCCGCAGGGCTCATCAGCGCCTGGTGGTGCCAGGACTGGGGCGTTTCCTTTGCTCCCCTTGGCGCCCCTCCAGGTTGAGGCTCGTCCTCCAGCTTGGTGATGGCAGCACTGAGGCTGGCTCAGGCCAGGGGAGTCACTTGCTTGCAGAGAGCCCTGGGGATCACTCCCATCCGGCCTGGATTCTCACCCACCCTGTTGTAACATGTGGTGGAGTCCAGGCCATTCCGACTGGCTGCAGTTGGGGTTCCTCTGGTCTCAGCAGAGAGATGGCGGAGAGCTGGATGGACGGGAAGCCAGTCCTGGCCAGCACTCGGAGAGAGCAGACTCCGCTGGGGTGTGCAGTGTTAGGGTGTGTTACTGTCAGGTTGCACACAGCCTGTGCGCTTGCTTTATTTGTCCGGGGTCGCTTTTTCCTTAAAACTAGGGACAAGATGCCGACTGTGAAACTTGGGGCAAAATGTAATAGAAGAAGCTCATACTTTGTTTCTCTTTGAAACCTTGGAAGGCTTGGTAGGGTGGGGTTCAGATTCCTGCATAGATAGGGGGTGCTCGCTGTAGGCTGGCTGGGAGCTTCACTCCTCCTCACGGTGCTGTTTGCTTCCTGCAGCTGGGCGCCAGGCTGGAGTTCCTGGGCTGGGAAGGACAAAAGGCTGCCTTGGAAGGCACACTCCACCTGGTTCCCAGCGGCAAAATGGCTCAAAACGTGACCAAGTCACACCTTGGGTCTTCCAGTATTGGCTCTGCCTTCTGCAGAGCGTGGGAGTGGTGCGCCCATATCCTGGCTGTGGCCACTCAGGGCCACTGATTCCAGAGAAGCAGCTCGTGTTCTCGCGAAGGCTCTGCAGGGCACAGGGTGTGTGGGGTGTGGAGGGTGGGAAGGCAGGCCCAGCCTGGGGAGTGGAGGGTGTGTCCCGGAGGACTACGGGGCTGTTTTCTCGTTATTTTCCATGTGAATTATTTTCACATTCAAAACCACGCTCCTCCGTGGAGGGTTATGGTTTTTCCGACATTTCCTCCTAATCCCATGGAGAACTCCAGTTTTGAAAGAGTTTCTTCTTGTTTGAGTGCAAAAGAGTGAGATTGGGGAATAATTTTCTCTTGGGAGGTGTGGTCTAGGATGCAGTGACTATTTTGTTATTCTCTACCAACCCAAAGCCAAGGGAGAGTTATTATTTTTTTTTAATGGATTAAAGTGACTAAGTCTATTGAGCCCTTTAATGTTTTGGCTAAGTTCATGTTCACGTTCAGTCCTGATGATAGAATGTGTTTGTTACGTGGATCGTTTATTGACCATTCCAACCAAGTCATTTTAGAGAAATGGAATATGCATTTAAAAGTCTTGGCAAGCCTGCTAGGCTAGTTGGGTTTGCCTTAAGAAAAAAAAAAAAAACAATTCTGAAAACAACTGGAATGTTCGTTCCGCCGACAGACGCACGGGTCAGGGAAATGCGGTATGCGTACACGGTGGGACATTTTCCCTCCTTAACGCGGGAGCCACGGCACGGCCGAACACCTGGGGGCCTCCTGCTGCGTGGACGAAGCCAGTCGTGTCAGGGCAGTCACTGCGTGATTCCATTCCAGGGAGGGCCCTGAAACGGCCACAGTCATACGCTCAGAGTGGAATGGTGGGTGCGGCCATTTTTAAGGCTAATGAAAGGGAAAGTCTTTGCTCTTTCCCCCAAGCCCGGGCAGGAGGACCAACTCTGCCTAACGCTGCTGCCGGTCACTGGCAGAAAGACCAGGCCCCACCGTGCTGCCAGCGCAGGCACACCGGACACCGGTGCCCCGGCTGGGCTCACCAGGCGCAGCCGTGGTGCTCACTGCAGCTGGGGCGACCGACCCACAGGAAGGGTCCGGCAGGCACCTAGAGTCTCTGCCGCCACCATCCCACCGGCCCCTTCTCTTTCTAAGCTTTCCTGACTACGAGGACCTCCCTGTCCTGCCTTTTCCCATATTTTCAAATCTAAAAATCCCTTATCAGGGAGACATTTAACAGCTGACATTAAAAAGCTGAATTAGTTTAAAACATTGCTCATATTCTTTAGAGAGCTCATTGCCTATGGTTGAGTATTTGTAGAACCCCTTAAAAAAACTCCTTAACACATAAACGAACCTTTTCTGCAATTCCTCCTGCCGCAAGCACGGCGATTACAAAACCAGTTTCAGTTTCACGCCACCTGCACTCTCAGTTCCTGCTTCTTGCTGGTGAGGAGAGTGCGGTGGGTCACAACTGTGCTGTTGGGGGAAGGCAGTCTGGGAGAGGGGTACTGGATATTTGGGGCACCCTAACCCTGCTTATGGGTCTCAGTTTCTCTTCCCAGTCGTCTAGACCAGCTAGCTGGGAGGGCTTGGAGCACTGGGTGACCAGCCCTTAGATTGCGCCTCCCTGGATGAGCCAAAAGTTAAATTACGGGAGATGGAATTCCCTATGAGTACCCTACACGTCTCAGGGATTAGACCCCAGACACCTCCACGAGGCCCCCACTCACGTAGGGACGCCCGAGAACTAGAGCTGGAGGGAGAAAGGGCCTCTTTTCGTCAGAGCTTGGTGGCTGCCAAAGCCCTCATATAAACCTGGGAAGCGGTCTTTGGAGTTCCATAGAAACCAAAACTTTCACAAGCTATTGGCTTCCCTGATGCAGGCTGACGGAGCGAAAGGACAAGGATGGAAGGTGCCGAGAAAAAGTGGCCTTTGGCCAAAACAGGTTACCTGACTGCCTTTTTTCAAGGCCAACTCTTTGCTCTCACTCCCACGCCTGAGAACTAAGTTTTCTGTTTTCAAAAGTGGTCGCAAGAGAGGACGACCTAGAAAGAAAAACCTATTTCCCTGGAGTCCAAGGCATCCTACGACATACCCAAGAAAGAGTGCGGGTTGTCGGCCCTTACCTGGGCTGGTTATGCGTAAATCCACCCGAAGTTGATGCGTTGTCCACAGCAACGGCTCGTAGCCACTGGCTTCAAGAAAATGATCCTGATTCCTTCCGGGCCCCACGTTGGGCGCCAGCTGGCACGGCCACCGACTGGCAGTGACCGTGGAATGCTGTGGATGGCTCGTTGAAACACGAGAGAAACATACACAGAGACAACCAGGTCCTGTGGGGAAGTAGGGACGGAACAGCCACTCTCTCTGGTGGGGAGCGTCATGGCCACCCTCCCTATGGGAGAGCGTCCCGTTCTCCCCGCTGAGCAGGCTTTTGTTGGGTTCGTTTGCATAAGAATTCAGGTAAAGCTCATCACTCATTGCCAGGAAGTAAGGATCAAACAATAGGTAACAAGGAAGTCTGAGGGCCTATTTTGAGTCAGGGTCAAAAGAGTTGTAAAACTTTAAGGAACAAACTTACTTCTTCCCTGGACCCTTATCATTCAACTGAGAGCATTCTAAACAAAGCAGGTTTCACAGGATTTTACATATTCTTTCTTAGGCCTGATCACCGGGGGAACCTGCCCTTTCCAGCACAGGGCTGCACCACCCTGTCATTGTTTCAGGCTTAGGGTGGAGCAAGGGAAGTAAGGCAACCAAGAGATAAGAAGATTTTCTCCCAGCGGATGAGAACTCAGGCTATGTCAAAGCTGAGAAGCAAGGGTCCATCACCCCCTTTTGCTGTAGCCCCCAAAGTCCTTCCTTGGGGGCCTCCCACATGACCGTGCCTGTCTTAGGTCGTTCCCCCCTTGGGGAATCTTACTCGTCATTGGCTAACCGACCTAGCACTGGGGGCCAGTTATGAAAGAAGCAGCAGAAGCAGCGCTCCTGCCAGGGAGATAAGCTTGTCTCCTTGGTGGTATACGGTTCCAAGGTCATTCCCTCAGCCTTAGCCCTGGCGGGGGCTACAGCTTCTGATACCAGGCAGGGCGGTTCCCAACAGGGTGCCAGCGGTTGGGGGAGGCCGAATGGGGGACCGCTATTGGACTGGTGTGGAGTTTGGTGAAACAAGGTGAATACACTCTGGGGACCTGCCCACTGTGCAGCCCGGTGCCTGCAGTCGGCAGTTCCTGGCCGTGGGCTCACGTGTTTGTTAAGAGGGTAGAACTCACGTCCTGTGCTCTTACCGCAATGATGTTTATGAGAGAAAAGCAGTTAAAAATCTTGGAAATGACCAAAGTTGACTTAACCTCTCTTTTTTTCTTTTGCCCTCCTAGGGCCTGGGTTCCGATAAATAATTGCTACCTCATGTCTAAAGAAATTCCTTTTTCTGTGAAAAAGACTAAAAGCATCTTCAACAGTGCAATGCAGGAGATGGAGGTGTACGTGGAGAACATTCGCAGGAAGTTTGGGGTTTTTAACTACTCTCCGTTCAGGACGCCCTACACGCCCAACAGCCAGTACCAAATGCTGCTCGACCCCAACAACCCCAGCGCCGGCGCCGCCAGGATAGACAAGCAGGAGAAGGTCAAGCTCAACTTCGACATGACGGCGTCCCCCAAGATCCTGATGAGCAAGCCCATGCTGGGCGGGGGCGCCGGCCGCAGGATCTCCTTGTCGGACATGCCCCGCTCGCCCATGAGCACCAACTCCTCCGTGCACACGGGCTCCGACGTGGAGCAGGACCCCGAGAAGAAGACCATGTCGAGTCACTTCAGCGCCAGCGAGGAGTCCATGGACTTCCTGGACAAGAGCACAGGTCAGCCCCGGGCGGGGGAGGCTGGGGCAGGCCCTCGGGGGCTCGGGTGTGCACTGGCGCACACCTGGCTGACCCTCCCTGGCCGGCAGCGCCGAGCCAGGGGGAGCTTCCTGGAGTTTTACGCCAGTGGGGCGGATTTTAATTTTAAATGAGCCACGCCCCTGAGTTCCTGCAGGCCCTTTTGCAGGGAGGCGGCTAGACGTCCTTGCAGGCTCAGCCCAGACGCCTCTTAGAATAAACCACAGCATCTTCCCGCCACAGCTTTTTCTGTCTCAAGCATTTTATTTTAATGGAAACATTGTTTTTCTGTCAAAACCATGCAGTCAACATCATTTAGTGCTTAAATATCAGAGAAACATGCCAGGTAACCCATAACAGTCTTTTCCCCATGTGCTGTCCCCCTCTTTAAAGGTTGCCTTGTTGAATAGTTGTCTTGCATTTTTGTGTTTTTTTTTAAAGATTTTATTTATTTAATTTTAGAGAGGGAAGGGACGGCGATAGAGAGAGAAACATCAATGTGCGGTTGCTGGGGGTCATGGCCTGCAACCCAGGCATGTGCCCTGGCTGGGAATTGAACCTGCGACACTTTGGTTTGCAGCCCGCACTCAATCCACTGAGCTACGCCAGCCAGGGCCTGTCTCGTGTTCTTGACACTTGCTACAGCGAGGTGGTTAAGACTGAGGACATTGGTCTCAGATTCCAGTTCTGCTGCCTCTCCCTGCGTGGCTCTGATCGGGGTACCTCATCTCACAGGCCGTACTTCCGTCATGCGTAACATGAGGGCAATAGAACCTGTCCCCGGGGTTCTGGGAGGGGTAAGGGAATCAGAGAGCAGAGTGCTCAGCATGGTGCCCGGAATAGATAGTAAGTGCTACAGAAATGCTGGCGACTCTGTTACTTCTTTCGGTGGTTGCTGATCAGATGCCTGTGTGCATGGCGGGGGGTGGGGGGGTGCGGGCACTGAGGGGGTCTGTGCTGGCCGAGTGTGCAGATCATAAGGGTGCCTTGAATTCTTTCTACCCAGACGTAATTTGGTTGCATGTTAAATACTCAAGAATTCTACTACTTCCACGAGGAAGTAGGTTTGCTGTTGTTTTTCTTGAAACATGGCCTTCACTGTTTATTCTTTGTTATTCTACCTCTCAAGATGTGGGCCCGGAGAAGCTTCCCTGCTAAGCATGCTGGTAAAGGCAGCCAACCCTCAGGCTCCGTGCTGGGGAGACCCCAGGGCACATGCCCCATCTCTGGCTGCAGCCTGTGGTTGCCAGGCAGGACTGTGGACTCATGGTTTTCAGATCTTCACACTGTTCCAGAGACCTGAGAAATCTGTATTTATGACATGAAAATGTTTTTATATGAAATCTCCCGTTATTAAATGTCAACTCAAAATATTTCCGAATATTTTTCAGAATGGATAAAGCTCACCTACAGGCTGGACTGCTGGTCTTAGACCTCCAGCCAAAGCAGAGACCTTGGGTAGCTTTTCAGACTGACCACCCCCTCCCCACCCACCATCTGCTTCACTCAGAACCGTAAGGAGCAGGCCTCGGTTCAAGAGACCACAGGAGGCCCCAGAGGATGAAATGATAGGGACTCAGTTCACTGTGAGCTCCACCCACTTGGGTTGTGTTGGTTCTGGTTGGTTGGTTACTTTCTCGTGCTGCTTGTAGCTGTTCCCACAATGGCTATAGGTGGAGAGGAGAGAGCTAAGTAGAACCAGTGGCTTCTGGTCCTTGAAAGTAGAGGCTGCAGCCTTCCTCGTTCCCATCCCAGCCAGGTGTGCCCCGTCCCAGATGACGGAACTTGGCTGACAGTGTCAGAAAGGCTTCCCTTTGTCTGCCCAGAGTCCTTAAAAGCTTACGCGGATTCCCACATGGGAGTCCATTGAACAGAACACGGTGGGCGCATCATCACCCAGACTCCCCAGCCCGTGCATCCCCACGGGGTGCACGCTGTTGAGAAAGTGCTATAACCTGGGCCTCGACCCTTGGCAGGGGTCACTGTTGCCTGAACTTTCATTGCTCCCCCAACTACCTATTTCATTAACATTCTTACACATCAGACCTCTGATGTAGCTTAATCCTAAGCTAAATAAGTGAAATGTGGAAGCTCGTGTGCTTAAATTGCTCATGGTATTTTTTTTTCTAAAATCCATGAAATGAGTACCTAACTTACAAAATAACAACTCTTGGGGCCCATGAACCCCCTCTTGCTTCTGCTCCGTATTTCGGGACACATAGTTTCTTTCATGCGTTACGAGAATACCTACCCTGTGTCGCTGCTTCTTCCCTGGGGAGGTGCAGAGGTTGAAATGACATCAGGAGTCCTGACAGAATTCCCTCATCATTTGAGTAGGTTTTAGATGCTTTAGTAGACTTGAAAGTTCCTTTTCCCAAATATAATCCCCTTGTGGGTGTGTGTCTGGGTCATTTGGATAATCATGAGTACAGGAAGAAAAGGTGATACAATTGCTTTAATCTTATAAATTGCCCTCTTTTCTGTTAAGAGCCAGGCAGTAAATATTTTAGGCTTGGTATGTTTCATGAACTGTTAATCCTTTTGATTATTTCCCCCAGCCATTGAAAAAAAGTAAAAGAAATACCCTTCTTAACTTGCAGGTCACACAAGAACAGGTGGTGTGCTAGAAGTGGCCTGTGGGCTGGTTTGCCAGCCTCTATTACAGACTAAGAGACACGGGGCCAGTCTCTGCATTTTATGGAAGGCAAGTTGAGGTTCCTATGAGGAGTGTAGGGAGGTGTCCAGGGTCCCACCCCTGCATCCTGAATCTAGACCGTTTTTTTTTTTTTTCCCTCTGCACTCTACTGCCCTCTGCTGTTTGCAGTGATGACAGCATTTAGTGGAAGCTGGGGAACATTTATTGAAATGCTCCCATACTCAGTCAGACAAGACTGTGATTTATCCAAAACTGTGTTTAAAAAGAAGAAGAATGCCATAGGAATAGAAAAACCAGATTAGTTAAGACAATGAAAAATGTGTAACCAGCGACATAAAATTTAAATTACATAAAACTTTTATGAGAGTTTAGAAACCCTTCTCTCGAGGTGGGGGGGATGTTGAGGAGCTCAGAGTCCTGTGTCTCTAATCCTTAGAACTGGATTCATCCTTCTAAGAAACACTTGGTTCGGCCTGCAGCCTGTCACTCCTGGTTTCCTGGAATCCTGTTGTCTTAATATTCAGAATGGTTTATCTTTTTTGGTGATTTTTCTCATTCCTCCTGTATCTAGACCTCCTGGCCAGAATGGATGACTTTGCCAATACTTGGCTTGTGGGATCCCAATTTAAGTTGTTAATAATGCGTCAGGTCCTGGGGCCTGGTAGTCACTGCCCTGTGAGCTGATGGTCCTTCAGTCGTGTAGCTTAGGGCTACGGCTTAGAGAGAAGGGACAGGTTTCCATAAACCCGTCTTTATTGTGACATCATTATGTGTGTGTTGTAGAATAATTGTTATTCATAAAGGCTAAAGCCACACAGTGTACCACCTCCCACAGTCAGCCCTCAGGTTCCGGGACTCTCCCCATGTTGGTTTATAAGCCGTATTATTAGTGGGATGGCTAGGCAGGCGTGGGAAGGCGTGAGGCTGGGAGTGGGAGGGGCTGGGGTGACCTGAAGCAGAAATACACCCTGATCGTGACCGAGGACAGGTACACACGTGTGCACACGTGACACTTCCCAAAGCACGTGCCGCTCTGAGCTGAGCTTTTCTTACTACAGGGCACAGGGGCCCTTTCCTCCTCCTGGTTGTAGCCAAGTGGGAATGGGGGAAGTCCCAAATGTTTTTTTAAAAGGACTTTCGTTGACTTCCGGCCAAGACGGAGGCATAGGTAGACACACTGTGCCTCCTTGCACAACCAAGGTAGTGACAACAGCAATTTAGAAACAGAATAACCAGAACTGACAGAAAATTGAACTGTATGGAAGAAAGGTGGACAGCCAAGGAGTTAAACATTCATCCAGACAGGTAGGAGGGGTGGAGTTGGGCAGCAGGGCGGAAAGGGGTCGCACGGCACACAGAGCGTTGGGACTGGGCATGTAAGACCGCAGTGGGCAGACCCTGGGTGCGGAAGCGGCAGCTGGCAAAATCCCGGCCGAGGGGTGGCAACTGGCAGGCGCAGCAAGGTGGGGATTGTGAAGCAAGGCGCTGTGCGCAACCCAGGATCCCAGTGCTGCTGGGAAATAAGGGCCTTGGGGCACTGATTGAAAGCACCTGTGGTGGTTGAGGCACAAGGAGAGGCTCCCAGTCTCACAGGAGAGGTCATTCAAAAGACCCACGGGGTACACAAGCCCACCCACATGGGAATCAGCACCAGAAAGGTCCAGTTTGCTCAGGGGGAGCGTCGGAGGGGACTGAGGTCCCATGGAGAGTGGAGGGAGAGCCATTGTTCCCTCTCGGACCCCGCCCCCACATATATCGTCAAAACCCAGCGACTGGGGTGCCCCACCCTGGTGAACACCTAAGGCTCCACCCCTCATACATAGTAGGCGTGACCAGACTGAAAGGGGGAGAAGGGGTGGCTCGAACAGAAGAAATGGAAGCCCCAGAACTGATCCTTTTAAGCAACTGAGAGATAGCCAACCTATCAGACGCACAGTTCAAAACACTGGTGATCAGGATGCTCACAGAACTGGTTGATTTTGGGCGCAAATTAGATGAAAAAATGAAGGCTACGATAATGAAATGAAAGAAAATGCACAGGGGACCAACAGTGATGAGAAGAAAACTGGGACTCAGATCAATGGAGTGGATGAGAAGGAAGAAAGAAACAACCAAACAGGAAAGAATGGAAAAATAAGAATTCAAAAAAATGAGGAGAGGCTTAGGAACCTCCAGGACATCTTTAAACATTCCAACATCCAAATTATAGGGGTACCAGAAGGAGAAGAGGAAGAGCAACAAGTGGAAAACTTATTTGAACAAATAATGAAGGAGAACTTCCCCAATCTGGCAAAGGAAATAGACTTCCAGGCCGTTCAGGAAGCTC